CTTTTAAATTAGAATATGAGTCATTAATTGAATGAACTATTTGGAATTCGGAAAACTCGGTAGAAGCTATCTGCAATAAATGACCTCCGTTTGAACACAAAACTGATGGATATTTCTGGGAATAAAATACGATTTCTTCAGTGCTAATATCGTCGTATAAAATACATGCTTTCTCTGCACTTTTTTCACTCGTTTTCCCGCCTGAGGTAACGATCTCAGAGAAAATCCGAGGAATTAATTTTTCTCTCATAAATTCTTTTATTGTGTTGCCGGTGTCATAAATGTTAACAATTAATTGAGGTCCGTGAATAAAGTGTCCATAGGAAGGAGTGTGAAAAAACTGATTTTTAAATAGTCTGTCATCTGTATCAGCATGGAAGGATAGTTTTTTGAACTTACACAGTGTCCTTAACTGTGTTACAATATTGTGAGTGTTGCGGTACGTTTTTTCTAGCTTGATGTTTTGAAACTTGTCCAAATATTCCTGGACTGCACGAGCATTTGATGTGTAATAATTTGAGAGTGCAAAGTTGGCCTGATTAAAATCGATTCCAATCCCATTTATTTTACGAGGAACAATGAAAGGTTGTGAAACATAGGACACCGGCTCGCTTTGGAAATCGTCAAGAAATACATAATCAAAATCATTAAAATTACTTGCCGCATCGAAATATGAATCATTGTGTAAGATATGCACCTGTGGAATTCTTTTCTTCTTCGTATCAAATATTTCATAGAAGGTTTGTGGCGACCGGCAAGGACAAAAATGGATAAAAATCGATTTTATTCTGAAAAACCTACAAATTTACTAATGTCTAGAATTTATTTTATCTACAACCATTTTGCGAACGATACTCGATTTTATACAGAAAGAATTTTTTTTTTCAACTAAAAACAGATTTTAGTGCCAAAACAATCAATTTTTCCATTCTATAAAACCTTTATATAATGAGTAGATAATCTGCACATAGTCAGTGGATAATTTATAAAACATATAAAAAATTGATTTCATGATTAAAAATTATAAGGGTACTAACATTTTTTTGACCATTTGAATTTCAAATTAATGACTTTTTTCATTATATTGTACCAATTGTAATCAGGAAAAACTTCCTTAAAGATTACAGTGAGCTGAACTCACTAAAGGAAAGTTTTATACTGCAAACTACAAGCCGCAAACTACAAATTTCACGGGAGTCTTCTAAAAGTTTGCAATCCAAGGCTTCCAGCGGCAGAGAAGTAATTTATTGCAAAACTTCCTCAAACTTTCTTTTAAAAGAGCAATCTTTTCAGCGCGCTGTTGAGAAAAAGCAACCATGAAAAACTAGAAAATTTAACATAGAGCAATTAGTTTTGGCTGCAACGTATTTCCACAATAATGAATTTGAAGTTTTCCTTCGGAACTAACATCAGTACAAAAATTTAAGCGAAAAAAGCCTATAATATAGTTTTGTTTCAATGTACTCAAATTATCTGATTGGCGAGAACTTTGGATATATAATTTGTACGTGCTTTTTGTATATAGTCTGTATCTGATCTGTATATAATCCGTATATAGTCTGTATATATATTGTATACAATCTGTAAATAATCAGTATACAATTCGTATAGAGTATGCAAGCAATTTGATACAGAAAAAGAAAGCTTTAGAGTAAGTTAGAGTAGTTTTTGAGTAATTTAGAACAGTTTCGGTAATGATTATTTGATGAGGATAGACATAATAGAGCTTATCTATTATACAAAAAAATGTTTTATAATCGATTAGAACTACATAATCGAAGTTTTAATTGATAAAATTAAAACATCTGAAAATTGTATATTTTTCAGCAGATAATCGATTTTTATTCATATTTGTCACGGCGGGTATATTGAGTTGTGATGTTTGCGTATGCAAAATTTGATTGGAGTAGATGCAAATATATTCTGATAATTGAATAGTTTCTTTTCGCTATGGACATAAAACGCGATCTTGGCGTCAGGTTCAGTGAGGGCCAGACGGATAAGCCTTGCCAGCAAAATCAAAGTTTTGCCAGAACCACAAGGACCACTTATGATCAAATGCTCTTCTGTACTCTCATACGCGTCCTTTTGCTCTGTAGTAATATACTTAAGGCCCAAACAGTCCTGGAATATGTTAATTCCTTCAACAAGGGGTAGGTCGCTAGTTTTCCAAACGTTTGGGTTGTCGGGTCGGTTTTTGGATCTAAAAGTGATCTCGCTGTCTCGAAGTTTTAGGCCAATTTCGCGTACACACTCAGCCAGATTTACTTTGCTTTCATCTATACGTGGGCCTGTTTTCCCGTTGGCCAAAAGCCGAAGTAACACGCATTGTATTTTGTCAATATCACCCCAAACTGGTTCCCAAGATGAACTTGTTTTAATTTCATCGTTCCAAAATGAACTGAAGTTTTTCAAGTGATCTTCGTTTATCACGAAGAAGCTTTCATTGACCGAATTTTCGATGACAGAAGAGAGGTCTTCTTGCCCAAAGTTAGGAAACGCTACTATGTTGAACAACTTGATTGAAGATTGTGCTTCAGGATTGGTTTTTTTAGCAACTGCCCGAACAAGTGATTCAGCTCTTTGAAATTGCTCGCGAGCTTTTTTCATTGACACAGTTCCGTTTTTTTGTTTTTTTATTGGGTTTTTCACCTCAATAATAACAATGTAATCTGGTCCCATCACTACAAAATCATGCTCTTCTTCAATTTTATTCGGTTTTCCACAGAGCATTTTTTCGGCTGATGTGCATCTTTCTGTGTTATGCTCTGAGTCCCATATTCTGAATCGGAAATGAGTGTATGTCAGTCCATGCAACACTATGATTGGCTCATCTAGTTTTTCAAGAGCTCGATATACAATCACTTCAGCTTCATAATCTTGCTGTTGTTTCTCATCTTTGGCAATATTTGGATTTTCTTTCACATGGCGGGCTTCAAAAATACATCTTAACACTGTCTCTTTTCTTATCTATCTTTTCATTTCTTTATTTTAATGATTTTTGTTAACAATAGATATTGTCTTCTTTTTGTCTCAAAGAAAATAAGTACAAAGTATACAATGCCTGTTTCAGATTCTCAAAAAACGATTGCGACTTAAATTATTTGAGACTTTTAATGGAAACTTAAGTGCTAAGAAGAACCTTCGTAAACGTCAATTCTCTGTTGTGAAGGTGCAGGCGGAAACATCAACGGCCTGTCCTCTCCTTCGCAATACTTTTTGAACAGTTCTTGACCTTCAGATAGTAAATCCGAACAGACCAAGCTGAAATCAAAGACAACTTCAAACTTAAGTTTTCAAATATTGTAAAATTGTATGACATACTTTTGGCAAAATAAGTGTTTATTCAAAAAAAAATTCGTTTAAAGAAATTTAGATTTCTACAATTGTGGTTTTTGTGATTCGTAGAAAATCTATAAACGCTATCCAATTTGGTATACGGATAGTCCAATTCCACTACTTCCGAACATTCCAGCCTTAGTTATATAATTGAGCGAGAATCTTTTTGTTCCGACTTTCGAAGAAAACGAAATTTCTATGCTCGGTGTGGTTTTTGTTCCGACTTTTGTAACGAAAGTAACAGAATGTTTCTGCTCGGGGTGGTTTTTTCTTGTTTCAGACAAATTTCGACTCCTTATTTAGCCACTTTTGACTAATTTTTTTATATCATTCGAAAATTTTTGTTGTATTGAGCTTAATTTTGTAAAAATATTTCATCTGTAATCGTTTTTTGCAAAGTTATGAGAGTCTGAAAATTGCAATTTTGAACAATTTGGGACAATTAAAGCGCGATTTATTTCCCGCTATTAACGCTTAAGCGAAGATTTAATCCGTCTTAAAAATCGTTCCAATTTGTTTAACGGAAGCTTATTTCCCAAACTGATTTGTTAATGGGAGCGAAATCTATCCTTTTGTACTTTATATGACGTGTGGGCGATGATTTCACAAATCTCGGATTTTTCAAAAAAAAAATTAATTTTATTTTATTACATTCAATTTGTTTCAAGTTAATGCTGCTCAATAGACCTGAAAAGGCAGTCCGTATATTCAAGGCTTCATCCTGATACGAGCAGACTTGTCTTGTTTTTTTTTGTTCCGATTTTCGAAAAGTAACAAAGTATTTGTGTTCGGGGTGGATTTTTTTTTTTCGTCAGACAAATTTTGACTTTTCAACTGGCCATTTTGACAACTTTTTTTATATCATTCGAAAACTTCTGTTGTCAAGGTATTTTACATGAGATCATTTTTTGTAAAGGTATGGGTGTTTAAAAATAGCTATCGTTCTAAAATGGTTGAAAGAAGATTATTTGCCATAATTGATTTGTTACAAGGAGCGAATGCTATTTTTTTGTACTTTATATGGCGTGTGGGAGAATTATTTTTGCGAAAAGTTTCAAGTTTTGGAAAAAAAAATATTTCATTTTATTACATTTAATTTTTTCATGTTATTACTGCTCCATAAACCTTAAAAAGCAATCGAAACATTCGGTGCTTTGCCTTGATACGAGGAGTCTTGTTTTTATTCAGTCAATTTTCACCGATCGAAATAAAATATTTCAAATAAAATTTTTTATACCCCTTTGAAGATATCGACTTACTGAGTTCAATTATAGAAAGATATTCCATCTCAAATTTTTTTGTAAAGTTCTGGAAGTTTGAAATTTGCGATGCTTTGGACTAAATTATGCGCGCCTTGAAGAGTTTATTTTTAATGGAGCGTAACGCGAATTACTTATGCGTGGCCAATTATCCCGCTCAAGTATTTGAATTGAGGCTAGCTAATTGGTGGTCGTATCAATTTTGTACGACTCAAAATTTTACACTTTTGTACCACAATTACAGCAACTGCAGTCAAAAGCCGCATCAACGAACAATGAGAATGCTTAAGTTGTGTAACTTGTGTTGCAAAATAAAAATGAATTGCGGAGAATCAAAACCACTAACTACTAACCCCAGCAATTTTTTGTTAAAATTACAGGTAGAGTGGGTTAGAAACAGACACAATTTTTTTTGCAAAACTTTTGATAATAAAATTTAAATTCTTTTAAAATCTGATGGGAAACTGTTCTGCTTTGCTTGTGTGGCCAATTTTTGAAGAGCTCTGTAGAACAAAAAACAGGTTTGGATCAATTAAGTTCCTGTAAGCAGTTTTAAAATTGTTTTTGATAAGATATCGAATAAATTGTTTTAGGTTATGAATATTCCTTGTTTTGAACCTGGATTCTTTTACCAGTTACATTAAAAATTAAAAACTCGATACTGCCTAGACGGGTCACGGAAAAGCATTCAGCTCAACGAGCAGAAATCCTGAGTGATTCTTAGAGAGCAAAAAATAAAGTGAATTGAGTAGGATAATAAAAAGTATAATTATAATCTGCGTAGACTCCAAAATGTTTTTTTTTACAAGAAATTGCAAAGTTTTTATCAATTAAAACTTAACAAATCATCTTGGCACTAACTGTTTCGAAGAAGTCAAACATAATTTAAAATTAATTGATATTCAGTTCAGTTTTGCATTCAGTCTCAAATTCTTACAAGTTTCTTGAGTAATCTGAAGACTATTTTTTTTCACATGTTTCTCCAGTATCGTCGTTTACGACTTTGTTTTATTTTCAAAACTTTTTTTATAAAAGCATCTTTTAATTTCTGAAAACAGCGCTTGAAACAGTTCGAACAAAAAAAATCGAACATAACGAAAACTTCTTGTTTTTCCTTAATATCAATCAGCATGTCCGAAAACCGCTTAAACATTTGCTCAATCGATCTTTTTGAGTTTTTAAATTTTCAAAACTACGACTAGTATCTATATCCATGAAACAATTTTTCGTTTTTCACTTTAATACTTAAAACTGAGGAACTTTTCATTGAAAGATATCTTTAAAATCTAACAAGACTGCTCGTATCAGGACGAAGCCCTGAATAATTCGACTGCCTTTTAAGTTTTATAATGAATTTCGAATACTGAAGCATATGAATTTCGAATATGAATTTCATCCCCCACACGCCATATAAATCACAAAAGGATAGTTTTCGCTCCTTGTAAATAAGCTTCTCCAATCATGGCAAATAAGCTTCTTCGGAACAAAAACGGATCAAAATTCGGAACAAAAACAAGGCTTATATAGCGGGAAATTTGTGTTTCCTTTCTGTCAGTTTGCCAGTTAAGTGAAATAACAGTATTCGAATAAACTTTTTTCATTAATATTGGGTAGATAAACGAAGAAACTGTGCAAGTTTCGTCCTCCGACTGAGTCATTTGGCCCAGAACTTGTGTAGAAAAATCACCACTTTTTTAGTCTGAGTGTGCAGCCTCAGAAAAAGAACTGGAAGCCGTTCAAGGAAACAAAAAGAAATTCAATGTATCTGAGTATTACCTCAGTTGTTTAGCTACCTCGGGATCTTTTTATCAACCCTATCATCAGTGCTAAAACTATCCGTGGCCACGTTTTCTCTTCAGCAAAACTAATTCAACTTTTCTTAAACTGACAATTGAGGTGTTAACATTTATAGTTCCTTTGAAATTTCAGCTCAAATTTTTAAACTACTTTCAGACTATGATGAGGCAGGTGTGAATGAGAATTACTCCATGCAAGATGAATCATAGCTACTTTTGTTCACCCAAGCCTAACCCTTCACGGATGTAGCGAACCAGGTTTTTTTGTTTTAGGAGTTCTGACACATTTATATGGGGTTTCTTACCCAATTTAAGCAAGAGTGAGCGACAATCTACCAGTAGCAAGACAACAGTTGTTTTTTTTCACAACATTTTTTCCTGAACCGCATTTGATTTGGCTCCGAACGTAATGACGCTCTAAAACTCGGTAGTTATTGTTCTTAGTCTTCAGCCATTGGCTGTAGTACATAATTTCCACCTCGTCGTGCGTGACAGATCTACGACTGTTACATTGTGTTTATCTGGAGCTCTTTGGTGTATACTGCATCGTAACCCTTGCATCGGGCACTAGCCTAGAGAGGACGACCAGAGTAACCCATGAGAGGCTTTATTTAACTTTTCTGGCGCCGAACTGGGTGTGATAGATCATTCCGCCTTATTAACTCACATCGGATGCCAAAAACAACCTTAGGTAACAAACAAAATCATGAAAAAGCGAAAACTGTCAAAACGGAACAAAAAAATTAAAAACACCAATAAGAAAAACACCAAACCAAAAAACTAACAAAGTTACCTGCTCTTGAAGGTATGGTATCGAATCTTTTGTTTCGTTTGATTTAATTACTGATTTAAGATAAATAACTTTTATTTAATAACCTCTGGGGTCCAAATGGAACCCTCCTTTACCTCCTTTGCTTTTAGCTTACTCAATCAAAACTCATAAAAAAGCATTGATTCGACATAGCTGTTGAAACAGTTTTCGTTATTCATGTATAAGTTTTTGGGGACCGACCTTTTACCTTTTATCAGAAAAGTTATAACATGGAACTTTTACCAGACTCGATAAACAAATTTGATTGACAGATTTAATGGCGTCATTTAGTCTGGTTAAAGACAAGGTTTTCACGACTTCTCGGCAAAGTTTTGTTTGTACTAACCATGAATCGTCCAGTAATTTTAACTTATACTAATTGAGTTGTTGCATTGCGGTCTGGTAAAAGTCGGTCTGGTGAAAGGTCGGTCTGGTAAAAGACCTAGCCCCACGTTTTCCTACTTCAAAAACAAGTTCACTTTTTCGATTTTCACTTGATAATTTTTTAAATTATGATGGGAGGGTGTCAAATAAATTTTCCTCAGAAAACATAAAACATCATTGTCATTTTCAACAACCGCTTATGATTGATTGAGTCAAAAGCTTTCTTTCATCGCCGAAGCAAGATAACATAAAGCGTATATATTTAATTGCCATGCGTATATTTTCTGTGATTTCCAAACATGCTCTCTCTTAAATTAAATCCTATTTGATCTGGGTTGTTCATTTTTTTTAAATATTCTTCAATGCAGGAGAATGTCCATTTGCAAACTTTTTACTGGAGTTTTTGAAAGTCAAAAAAAGAGTGATTGGTCTACAATAGCCTCGATCGGTAAAGCGACTAACTTAATTATTGATTTTTTTAACAATTGTTAAATTGTTCACTGAAGTAGTTAATATTGTATGACTGGAAAGCATGTAAATTAGAAACTCTGTTCGAGATACAATATTGGCAATAGATGCTTTGTTCTAAAACTCGTAATTTGTTTTTTTTCCGTAGTACTCACAACCAAAAAAGCTGCTGAATGCAGAACATCGTCATTTTTTAAAATAATATTTTCTCATCTTTAAAGTTTCAGCTACATCAGCTGCGACTCAATCAGTTTATTTGTTGAACGATTCATCACTAATCGAAGACTGAGAAAACAAAAATTCACGTTCACATAGAAAAGAGCTTCATATATCAGCACAGCACATCCTTAGTTGGTTTGGAATGTGCAAGTTATGTATCATAAAAATCGAACTTTGCATTTCCAACCGAACGTTAATTTTTCTACTCAATCGTGTTGCTGGTGGTTTGTTTCATTAGATAATTGTAGGAATTAATTTGCAAAGAATTGTTTTGCAATCTTGATGTTTTTAATTGTGAAATAATACGACTTCTTGTCGTTCCGATTTTCTAAAAAAAAAACGGAAGATTTATGCTCGGATGATTTTCTTGTTCAGTCAATTTTCGTCTTTCGAAATTAAATTTTTATACCCCATTAAAGATATTGTTTTCCTGAGTTCAAGTTAAAAAAGATTTTTTACCTCCGATCAAAATTTGTACAACTCTAGGGGTTTGAAAATTGCCAATTTGGCTATTTTCTTGGCTAATTTATGCATGCTTTCCAGAGTTTTATTCGTAATGCTGAGAGCGTAACGCGAGTTATTTATGCGTGGCGTATTATCCCGCACAACAAAATTGTTCCAAATTGAAATTAGGCTAGTTAATTGGTCGCATCAGGTTTGTACGACTCAAAATTGCACAATTTATTATTTTCCAAAATTAATAGGTAGGTGTTCAATATTTTCTTTTCTCAAAAACTATTCGATTTGAATTAAGGAACTGTCGAAACCGAAACATTCCTGGCTTTACCCTGATATACGGGCAGTGCTATTTTCAAACTTTCAAGTTTTCAACCCCAAAGGATTCAAATTCTTTCATTAATAATAAACAGAGAAATTAAGTTTTGCAAAATTTTCAATTCCCAGAAACCCCAGAGGTTTACGTTTTTGAATGGCAGTTCACAGAAAGATGTTTTGATTAGAGCTCTTTTTTTTATCGCTGCTTGATTATTCAACAAAGTTTGTTGTCAGTAATTATTCCACTTTAAGCTGCTATTCTTATTTTGGTTGCGTAGCAATTTTTTTTGAAAAGGATATGAGTGAAGGATGTTTTTAAAATTTCCTCGTAATTTCGTTTCTTGAGAATTTTTGTAGCCTGAGGTATATTTGTCTAGCTCAAATTGATCGATAAAGTTTGAAACTAAAAATTGTTAGTCTGTAACTAACTGTTTATATTTGAATGAAAACTTTATCTGCATTTAAGTTTATGAAAACTCATACCAATTTCCATAATAAAGCTGCATTGTTACTTTTTTCATAGTCTGAATTTTGTGATCATTCTAGAAAATTTTTTGAGTTTTTGAATTTAGAAGTTTTTTTCTATGTGTAAACAGAGTTGTGATCGGTTAGCCAGGTATTACAGAGCGCAGTTACAATTAGATTCTCGTTAAGGTTCTCTAGTAAACAAATTAAAAGTTCAAGATGGCGGAATTAAACTGTGTATTCATTGTTTTTTATAGCCGTATTCCAATAACCTATCTTGTTCTCATCGAAATTTTAATCCAATTATCAGGTTGCCTAATAGCAGAAAAAATATCTGGTTAGTTTTAAATAAACTATTTGGTTTGTTAGCCAAACAGAAAAAACTTTTTGCCTGCTTGAAAAATTTGACAGGGTGCAAAATAATTTCTTTTTTTTTTGGGGAAATCGATAAAAATAATGCTTTAAGGAGACGCAATGTATTCGCAGCATGCAACGCTCACTTATATGCAAGGCTGGGCGTATCTTGAATGATCTGGCTGTCTTTTATGGGGTCTGAAGTACAAACGAACTAATGTAAAGTACAAAGAGAAATAAATCCATCAACTAACAAACAATTAGAACGCTTAAAAGCATGCTTAAACTCAATTTAGAAAAAACTGCGGGGCTCTCTTTTTTCTTTTACAGGTAACTATAAATCAAGTTCCAACCGATTTAAATAATGGGGCAGAGGATCTTAACAGAAGGTAACATGATTCGCAAATTTTCACGAGTAAACTTTTTGTTAACATTTTCGGATTGCTATAAACATTGGCTTGGGACGAATTTGGTCTTCATACTTAATCTTTAAAACCAAAGGTTACACCATAAATATGAGGCTCCTGTGGGTTGAGGAAAAATTACAGAGTCAGTTTCTGATCCAAGTTGATTTCGCCACATCTGATTCGCTCAAGTAGAAAACTAGAATGACCCCCCAAATAGGCGAAACTGACCATTTTCGAGACCCTATAACTTCAATTAAATCACGAGTTAAACGCGGTCTGGAAGTTTCAACGGCCGAAAATCAAAACTTTTACATCTTGAACTGAAATTAATGTGACTAGATCGATTTAGACTAGAACCTTTCAGTCTTTTTCTACATTTCAAATAAATTGTACCAGTGCTAAATTGCATCACATTAAATGTTCTTCGAAGAGAGGATATGAAATTTTAAAGGCTGCATGTTTTCAGTTTTATCCCCTAAATGATGATGGAAAAGGATAAGTTTTATTTCAACATTGTATCGATGTTATTGAGCCGAAAAAATAAAAATTTAGATATATTATATTTGAATAAAAACAGAAGTTCATTTTTATTAATAAAATAATAAAAATAATGCAAGAATTTTATGATCTATATGTTTGCTGTAGTTGTCTGGAGTATTTTGAGACGCTTCAAAAAGAATTCTTTAATCTTAGTACTAATTTCTGGTTTCTGGTTTTCAAGGTTTTAGTGAGCAATTTTTGTCTCATTAATTCGTGTGGCTTTGAAGATCTGGATTTGTTGAGCTTGATTTGGATAATGATGGGCATTTTTTTCAAAAGCAAGTGTTCGGCAATCATTAAACGCTTGAATCGAATTTACGATAATCGATTCGAGTTTTTTGCGAACTTTCACGTGCAAAATGAAACTAGTCGTCAATAAACCATTGATGTCGGTTTATTGCTTAAATTCACTATTTGCAAAAGAAGCACGTTCTTTTCTAGCGATGACCTTAATTTCAAACGGATTCTTTAGACTAGGAAGCCATAAACATTTGTTGTAGATCCAATTTTTCCCCACGTTTCCTAAATTTTAATATAACTGCTGATGAATACATTTTCTCCAGGGAGCAAAAATATTTGGAACTACTCGGTGATTCTTTTTTTTAAAATCCTCAAAATGATCAAAATTGAACTAAATCTAAATGAGGTAAATAATTGTTTTGCAGGGTCAAATTTTCTATAAATAAAACCATCTATCGATGCGCATACCTTTCTAGTTGCAAAACTCTTCGCTGCAAATCCTTCTCATGACTCTCCAGTTGTGAAATTCTAGCATCTTTCTCCTCCAAATTGTTGATAAGTTGCTCGAATAATGATTTAATGTTCACATCAGTAATTTTTTCAAGCATTGAAGAACAATCCATGATTAAATTTTCCACGTTTGTTGGTCAGCGAAGAATTTTTCGTTCGCAGATTGAAAAAAAAATGCTAGCGGTTTGTTCCGCAGGGGGTCAAAATAATTGATGGTCAACAAAATAAAGCTCCTACTTCAAAGTTTTGCAAAATATGCCTTCAGGTGTGATCTAGCGTCAACAAAACACGAACAAAAAAATGAGAATGTAACGTTTCTGGCAAAATGTGTGAAATCAAGAAGGACCAATGTTTTTCCTTGTGACTTAGCTTTTCACTAGCTTGTGTCTACAGCAATTTGGCTATATAGCAGTGGCAAAAGAAAAGATATAAGGCATCAGCAGTGTTTTTATTTTAGCTTCAATCGAATGAAACCGATGAATGCTTTTTGCTTGTTACCACGGCAATTTTTTTTAGCTTGCGACTACAGCGATTTGACTATACAATGACTACGAAAGCTTGTGACTTAAGTTGTGTTTTATTTAGGTTTCCTGCTTAGAATGATATACTTTAGCTTAGAATTATAACAGTGTTAGCTTACGGTATACTCAAAAATCTACAATCTGCGACAGTTTCAAAATGCAGCCTGTTCAATTTTTACGACAAAAAAGAGTAATGTTGTCATTTTCATATATTGGTTTCAAGTTTTGTCTCCCGTTTACAAAAAAAAGTTCACGCGCGTAGTATTCAATTAAAACATGAAATAATAAAATGCGTGTATTTGCCGCTATTCTCTGAATAATCAAAAGCTCGGTCGAGACTACAATTTTTGATCGCAGTTTCGCAGTTGCACAATTTCAGAACCGATTTATTTCTTGTCCAGAATGTATATACAAGTTATACATGTATATGCTCTTTTACCAGTATGAGCCCCGAATTAGTGTGGCTTCTAGCAGTTTTTGACAATCGTTAAGGTATGAGGAGAAAACTTGATCTATGAGAAGAGGCTTATTGTTCGCATGTAAAGCATTATATAGAACCGCTACACAATTCACAACGCAACAATTCACAACGCAATGAAACCTACAGGAGGCTTTTATAAAATAAGCGTTTTCATAAAAGCCACAACGCAATGAAACCTACAGGAGGCTTTTATAAAATAAGCGTTTTGACGTCTTTTAGATTTCTTCTATTTTAGAAACACCTACTGAAAAACGGCGCCGCACTATTTTGGCCAAATTTTCTGCGCCGCAGGCAAAATTTTAAAAATAGGCTCAAAAGGCATTTTTGGGCAGCATTGTTTTTAGCTCAATCGAATTGATTTTTTGAGTACTCCCTAAGCACGGTTTAGTCCCCGTTTTGGCCAAATTTCCTGGGCCGCAGGCAAAATTTTGAAAAAACAGGCTCAAAAAGCGTTTTTGGGCAGTTTCTGGAAAATTTTGACCAAAAAATAGTAACTATGACAATTTTTGAATTTTTTGTCGACCTTTTTTTAGGTCGACCAAATTAATTTTTCAAGCTCTGCCAACTAAGAACTAAAAAGTCCGTTTTGGCCAAAATTTTTGCGCCGCAGGTATAATTTTGAATAAACAGGCTGAAGAATTGCGTTTTTTCGGCGCTCGCTTCCCCCTCAAAATTATTATATATTGGCGCCTAAGGCGCATTTAGAAAAATTTTAGGGTCGGTCGGCCAAAAATGGATTTCTTAAGGAGTACCAAAGGAGGACCCTTTGGGTCGGCAGGTGGTCGAATCCCTGAGATGAAGAAGCAAACGCCCCCCCCCCCCCACCGCCCTCTAAATCCGCCCCTGCTATACACCACTTCACCGAACGTGTTACTCCCGGTTGACGTCCATAAAAAAATGCTTATCATACAATTTCATATATGGCGACCATGGAAAAAAATGCTTATCAAACAATTTTCATACACAATTTAAAAGCTGTACTAAACGTTTTTAGAGAAATACTTCTACTCTATTTCCATCTTTTGATTTTTTTGCTCAATAAAAATAAGATTTTAATAATTTTGGTCAAAAAAATGCCTATCATATATTTTACATATATGAAAGCTTTATGATATGCATTTTTTCATGAGCAAAAACACAAATTTGAGGTAAAAAATTTTTTAATCCTTTTTTGGTAGCAAACTTGCTTTTGTGCTCAAATATAAGATTTTGCGAAAAAAAAAAATTGCATGCAAAATTTGAATTTTTGTGTGTATAACGTAGTCCAGGATGAGTTTTTCACCCAAAAAATCTAAAAATCACAAAAAAGTGTTTTTTTTTGCAAACACGATTATGATTTTTTTATTTCATCTGCTAAGATAGAAAAAAATTTATAACAAAAACAGGTCTTTTTTCTCAACTACCAAAACTTTCAAACCAAAAGTTATCTAGCCATGTACAAAAAGTTACATTTTTGGTAATAAATTCAAATGAAATTGTAAAAATTTACGTTGGTGGCAAAAATCACCAAATGCAGTTTATCTGCGTGACAACTGCCAGTTACGCTCTGGATTTGCTTTTGCTAAAAAGTCCAGGGTTAGTGTTTCCAATGAAACAAAAAATTTTAAAACAAATATTTTTTGGTAATTTCATTTATGGAAAAAATGCTTATCACAATATTTCATATTATGGAAAAAATACTTATCATGCTTATTTCATAATATTCTTTTGGTCTTTGTAATAGTATGAATTATTATGATAAGCATTTTTGTCAAAATATGAAATAGTATGATAAGCATTTTTTGTCAACCTGGGACGTTTCTAACTCTTACACCTATACTGCATACCATTGAAAAGAGATTTCAAATCTATGGCAGAGCCTAAGAATCATAATGTGGTTGAAATAATGTGCAATGTAACTGAAATTTAATTTAAGTCAATTTATTTAAGTTAATCTTCACGAAAAAACAAAAAAAAATTAAAAATTTTTCAAATCATTGTATGAAGTCTTATCATGATTTCATGTAATTGTGAAAAGTTTATCAATTGCAATTGCTTTTAGTTTCGTTTGATTCAGTATAAAATCTGCATACCAATAATGGAAAAGATGGTGGTTTTGGTATTTTAGCAAAAGATGGTGGTTTTGGTATTTTGGCACTTTTTAGTTCAAATTAGCTAATATAAAAATACTGAATCAGTGAATAAATTTTTTTTTCGCTGGAAAAGCTAAAAATCAAAGTCAATCACGTTTTTCCGCCGATTCCGTTTCAGTAACTAAGGAGCCCAAATTGCCTTCTTCATAGCGAATGAACTTGAATTGAACTAAGAAAGTGCATAAAAACTAAATGAAATCCTAAATGCAAGACAGTTTATGATGCAACTCTCTTGTTATTAGAGCATTTGAGGACTTTTGTTTGAAACAAAGTCATCAAGATTTATGTAAGTGAAACTTGGTTTGTTCACTTACAATCAGGGTTAAATGATCAACTTTTTTCAATGTTTCTAATAAAACAAAACAAACATATTAGTATTAGATGTTGGGGCTGAAGTGGGGGAGGAGGTGCATGAAATACCCCATGTATTAGTAAACGTTATAGATTTCCGGTGTTCCATGATATATATTAACAATGAAATTAGGGTGCACAATGTATTAGGATAGGGAAAAGACTTGGTAAGGCTTCATGGTTTGTGGCATGGTAAGAGAAGGGTAAGAAAAATATTGTTTGTTGTGATTTTGTCTGGAAACCTCTGATTGTTTCCGAAAAATTTAAAAACGCGTTATCTTAGTGTTGAATAACATTGATGTAGAACGTGTGGCTCGTGTTTTCTGGTTCATTGTAAGTCAAAAGTAAAAATTTTCGCTCAAAAACTGAGGTTTTCTTACCAAAAAAATTGAATTCCTTTATAAAAAACACGATAATATTCAATCTAATTTAAGATATGACCTAATTTTTCTTATGCTCGACCTAGCTAAAAGCTGCTGAAATTTTAATAATTTTAAGTGATTTGGGAAAAAAATAAAAACAAAGAAAGCATATAAATCACTGCATCGTATGATAAATTTATTGCATTATTTTACACTTACAAATAAAACTACACGTTTACATAAGCTTGCTTATAAAACTCAAAACAAGCACGTCATGGATCTTTTTCAGTTTCTTTGGTAGATTTTAAAAAGAATAAATGCTGAATAAATTGTGTAGAACTCACACAATTGACCATTTTTTAAAGTCTTTTGTTGGAAAGTAACCAATTTTTTTTTCGACCTGAAGAATCGGCAAAATATAGGTTTTTTTTTCAATTCGGGCTTTCGTGATCCAGTGTTCACCACTATTATTGATTGGAGCTGTGTTGATGGTTGCAACAGAGTATTTTGTTAGTTGACTTACTTTATCAGAGGGGTAAGATCCCATATACTTGAACTTGAGCTCAGGATTTTTTTCAATAACTTGCACAAGTGAAAAGCTATCCACTTGCTGAATCTTTAGTTACTGAGTCAACAAAGTCATATACACAAGTCTCGTTTAGTGGACAGAGGTTATTGAACACTTTTTTACCGTCTAGGTTCAAGAAAACATCTCGGATTTTCAATTAAACAGCGTTCATTGTCTGCTTTTTCAAAAGATTTAAGTCTGAAGAAATAGAAAATAGATAGTACATGACAATAACGACGAAAAGTCCCAAAAAAGCTTACACTAATATATAGGAACCTGAAAACTTAAAAAACTTGAACACTTTTAGCGACTGTTTCCCAAGACTACCACCTCTGTTACTTGTTCCTAGGAAAACTTGAAAAACATTTCTAATCTCAAGCTTTCTCCATAGAGTTCTGAATAATGCAACTGTTTAGCTGCATCCTGAAGTAAAAGGAAGTCAAAAACAAGAAATAAGTGACTTTGAAAATCTTCCATAGGCAGAGCTGGAAAATATTCGTCAACAGCATTGTTTTACTTGTTGTAACAAAGGGGCAACAAAAAAAATTGTGTCTAATGAGACAATTGCTCTTCCAATCAGGATAATTTTGAACTCTCTTTTTTGAAATTAAAAACATGTGGAAGGACTTTCATAAAAAGATCCAGCAACAGCTGATTTTGCATAAATTGCAACTTCTTTTTTCTTATTGGAGCGTTTTTGAAGCTATTTCAGTGTATGAATCGGTTTTGACGAATTGGAATGACAAAGGTTCTTGCTATAGTTTCAGTGTAATTGTTTTGAGCAGGTTCTCTTTCCAGATTCCTATGCAAGTATTGATGATTAGGTTCAGCTACTAAAACTTTTCTATTTTACACCGAACAATCGCTTATTTTAAGTTTAACATTTGGATTATCAGACAGCCTGTTAAAATTAGCTCTAGCTCAAATAAATTTACTTCCAATTTTGGTATTTGGTAGTAAATAACTTTTGCAAGTAAACAAATCATTGGTGAGCATTCCTTAGAGAGAAAAAGAGTTTCTAATTTATTTGAAATATTGTTTATATAGTTTATAATTAAGTCTATCAGTTAACGGATGCATATCAAATGCCAAAGATATTCTTCAAAACTGTATCCATGACGAGCAAGTATTCCTTTGTTA